AGAGAGAGAGAGAGAGAGAGAGAGAGAGAGAATTTTGCGTCATTCTTCATCTTGAAGAAGTAAACTGAATATATTTATGAAACATCAAGGACAAATTTATAAAAGAAGTGGCACTAACTCAGAGCCAATTTAAATAATAAAGATATATAGTATGTGAAAGCTATATATTTGTATATATATATATATATATTGATGTATATATGTATATATGTATGTATTTGATTAAGTATCATTGTAGAAGATTGAATATAATGATGTTATGTCATACAACTAGTTATATATTTAAAATCATTTTCATATTTAATTAAGTAACCACTCTCATAGGTAACATTTCAAGAATCGAGCAGGAAAATTAAAGATACATTGGATGAATCATTTCTGTTTAAAGAGCACTTAAAAATAAAAACAGTTGGATATAAAGTGACAGAAGATTCAGGTGCCAAAAGTCTTCCTAGAGGAAAAGGAGGAAGAGGTTGATGAGAGAAAAAGAAATAAGAGAATAAGAGAAGGATAAGGCTAATCTGAAGATAAAGATAACAACAAGGAAAGAAGAGGAGAGGACGGTGGGTTCATGCCAGAAGAGCACAATAACAAAACCTTTTGGCGCTCTTCCAAGCCTGCTCGGCGACGTCCTGAGCGGTTCCGGTCTCGCTTCCGTATAACACGCGCACGACCACCGCGCTGTCCGTCTTCGTCATCGCGAACTTTTCACTACGACCCGGGATGAGTTTCAATTCTCGCCGAGGTGAACCTAACCTGATTGCGACAAGCGACGATTGACACGTTCCAGCTGATTGTCAATGAGGTTAGTGTATAGGTCCGCTCGTCGCACTTTCTGAACCTTCCAATCGCACCATGCGACACTTCCGCACTCCGAACAAGACGAACGCCCGTCCTGCCGACTACAAAGTGCACAAGGTACACACGCAAGTGCAGCACGGTGCAATGGAAACGAACAGATAAGTGTAAGTTAACGGACGGCGGCGCGGGAAAGCGCGCCTTGGCTTTTGCGACAACTCGTTTGGCCGCGGAATCTCGCTCTTGACGAAATGTCAAGGATAAATGTCTAGGCTAAGCGCTCGAACGGTCGCTTGGCGGCTGGCCCGGGATATTTATAAATGAAAAAGGAGCTTTGCGCGCGCAAACGAAGCGCGAGCGAGCCTATTACCCCCTTTCCTTCTCCCGCTCTCCCCATCTTCACGTTCCTTCATTTACGGAGTCTCCTATCATGAAAGATCAACCGATCGATATCATCAACTCGTGAAGAAGGTAACGAGACACAAGGGTCCGAAATCACGAGACGAGAGCGTTGGAGGCGTTGAGGTTAGGTCGGACCCGCGCGCGCAGGCTCGCGTGACGTAACGGTGCGGGACGTCGCAGGAGCGATCCGTCGGTTGGTAACACTGTCGTTCCGTCTGTTTGCGGATGACTGTCAAAACCTACTTTCGCGAGAGAGGAGCTGCGGGATCATCGTCGTCGTCGTTATCGTCGTCGCTGCCGCACACAGCCACTCGCTCGTTCATTCGTTCGTTCCCTCTCTCTCTCTCTCTCTCTCGTCGTTCGTTCGTGCGTGCGTGCGCGCGTCCACCGACTGCGACGCGAGGAAAAGAAGAAAGGAAGCGGCACCATGAACGCGCGTGAACACTCATAGGAGCATGTCGTGACGAGTGCCGTGACAACTTGTCGTCTTCTCGAGTGGAGAGAGAAAGAAAAATAGAGGAAGAGAGAGAAAGTGTGAGAGAGAGAGAGAGAGAGAGACGTCGACGCCACCGTCGTCGTCGACGGCCAGCCCGTCGTCGTTTCTTCCCTCCGCCGCGTCTCTCCTCGTCCGTTCGCGGATCCACCGTCGCGAAGGACTCGCCTCGGATCGCCCTCGGGGGATCAATCACGGAAGTACCCGGAGATCCCCGTTTCCGAGAGCCCGCGTCCTCCTCTCGCGCGCGGAGTCGACGGACGCGCGCGCGCGCGCGTTTTTCTCCCTGTGTGTACGCGCTGTCTCTCTTTCTCGCGCGCGAGCGAGTCGCGCCGCGTGTCGTGTGGCTCGCGCGGTGCAGCTACCTGCACTCTCTCTCCCTGTGTGTGCCTCTCTCTCTTTCCCTCCATCTACAAAGCAGCGCGATCGCGTGACTGACGACTACTGGATGATCGTGTGCTTCCACGATTGGTGTCGGTTTCAAGGTCCTCTCTCCCATGGGGCCGCATACCCGAGCGTGACGGCAGCTTCTTCGGCAGGCAGCCAGGCGGACGAGAGGCAGCAGGCCAGGCACTCGGGTGGCCTTAGTTCCTAGACACCTGGGGCGAGCTGACGCGCGCGCACGCTTCCGGGCTGTGTTCGCGCGGGACTCCCGTCTCACCTCGTCCCCGCGAGAGTGTACCTCCACGAGGCGTACGGAGCACAGACGTGAGAGAGGTCAGTCAGTGAGACGGACGGACAGACAGACAAGTACATGGTGTCGCGTGTTCCTTGGGTTTTCTCGGCTCCATGGGCCACAGCTGAACGCTCGACACCGCCGCGTTGCCTCTCTCGGATACTCGAATGTTCGGGGTGCAGCTACGGAAGGTACCGAAAGTGCAGCTGGGAGAGCAACGGGTCTATAGATATTTATATTTAGATTCGAGTGTACGTTCGATTCGATCAGACAGCTGCTGTTGTTGCAGCATTCCGATCGTTCGTTCGCGCGAATTCGCGAGTCCTGAGAAGAGTCTTCTCGGACGTTATCGGAATCGCGAATCCGAGTTCGTCCAGACAGCACGAATGTCTGAGAGACGTCCTACTTGTTTCGGACGGATGCCTCCGGACGTGCATTTCAGACATCCACGCTGTCCGGGCGCTGATTCTTCCCGGGGCACGCGAATTCGCGGTAACCGCGACTTCGTGCTTTTTCGCTGACACGAGGTTCGTTTCGGTCGAATCTGACTGCACTTTTCGCCTTTGGAGCGACGCAAGTGCATAACCTAGCGTCGGAGGGGAGAAGGAACGCAAGTTCCGGTGCAGCACTGGTTCGACTGAGACGAGGCAGGCCTGGGAAATCGGAACGACGTGTTGCCCGCAGACGCGGTTCGCACGCTTGCGACCTTTCGATACGCTCGTGAGAGTGTAACGCTCGCTCGAGCGAGCGCCCGTTTCACCTCGCGCGGGTGCAGAAGGTGCAGAAGGAGGACGCGGCTGAGACGCGCGTACCCGTTCGGAGTCCGCGCTCGTTCTGCACTCCCCTCGCCGACACACGCGGGTGCTCTCGTTTCAGCTGCGTTTTCCGGCTAGAAGACCGAGCGGACGGGCGCTCTGTTCTCTTTCGGCCGCACTTTCTCTCAGTCTTCCTCGCTGCTCCTCACCGCTCTGACGCTCGGCCCGGCGAGGAGCATAATGCACGAGTGCAGCGAGTGTAGGTAAAAACAAACTCCGCAGAGCCGAGGACAACACGCGCTCGCCCCGCAAAGGACACCTCATATCGAACGGTCGCTATAAATTATCCACGATTTTACGTCTCGCTAATTAAACCGCCTGTCTTGATCGCGTTCTCCGCTTCTCTCTTTTCGCTCGCTCGCTCGGACGGATCCGGTTAATTTGACGGATGGAACATTCGGGAGAGATGATCACCGCCGGACGATAAACTCGTTGCTTTTGCATTCGATAAGCTGCACGTGATAAACCGGGAGGATAAATCGCACCGAGAGTCGGCGCAACGTGATTACGCTACCGCTGGATACACTGTTTCATTCATAAATCTGGTGTGATTAATAACTTGGCAAGACTTTGCGAAGAAACGTTTTCAGCTACTGCATGCCTCGACAATCTAACGTTTAAACCACGGCCACCGTTCGGCAGGACGTTTATTTTGCAACTGTTGGAAATTTCCCCGGCTGAGATTGAATTGTTCTTCTAAATCCGGAGGAATAATTCAGCCTCAGTACAGAGAATTGACTATAGTTGTAAAGTAAACGCTCAGCTGGACGCGAATGCTCTCAGCTGCCTAGGTGCCTCCGACGTTCAGACAATTACCACGTTCAGCAGAACGCATATTTCGCATAACTGTTGAATTTTTCCGAACTGAGATTGGATTGTTCTCTCAGATCTGAAAGAATAATTCAATCTCAGCGCAGAAAACTCGCAAACGGTTGTTAAAATACACCTTCCGCTGAACATCAAACTTAACCGTTTCCACCAACCAATCTTCTTTTCCGCATGACGTAATAATCGCTGTCCTCTCTTTTTCAGACTTCCATAGATGTCGGAACCACGTTCAACGGCTTCGATTCACCGCAACCTCTCACGATGCTGACCACATAGCGCATACCGTACCGCACCTACAAGGATAACAAGGCTTGCAGACTTCCCGAGTATACCATGCGTGGCAAGGCGTAGGATCCTCCTCTGGGTCTGCCGCCACCTAGAACCAACCAGAACACATTTCATGCATACCCGGCTGCCACCTGCGCACCCGTGTTCCATCGCAGCGCCATCGACGAGCAGCGCGTCTCTCGTGGCCGAGAGCGAGCGAAAGAGAGAGAGAGAGAGAGAGAGAGAGCGAAAGCGAGAAAGACCAAAGAGACAGTAACGCTTCCCCTTCACTGAGCAGCAGCCGACGAAGATGAACAGCAGGCTTGAGGAGACGGAGTCGAAGTGGACCTGCGAGTACTGCACGTACGCCAACTGGCCGTCGTCGCTGAAGTGCACCATGTGCCGGGGCGCGAAGCCGCTATTGGGGGAGGACATCTACCGACTGCGCGACCCGAGTCCGCAGCGGGCCTCGTCCAACGTCGCCTCCGGCCCCGTGACCCACCACCACCAGCAGCAGCGCGCGAGTCCGATCGTGAGCGACCCCGCTTACGCCCACAACTACAGCCAGAACGTGCCGTCCGCGGGCAAGTGGTCGTGCAGCATGTGCACGTACCTCAATTACCAGAACACCACGCGCTGCGTGCAGTGCGGCAACCGAAAGCCCGCCGTTATCGCCGCCAGCGCCGGCGCGACCAACACCATAATCGCCGTGACGAGTACCACCACGACCAGCAGCATCAGCACCAGCACCACCACCGCCGCCTCCGCGACCGGCGTGATCGGCCAGTCGATTCATTCTTTGGCGTCGAATCTGCACGAACACCTGGCGCCGCTGCGGCTCGCCGACGGTCCGCCCAACTCCGGCTCGAACAACTCGCAGTCCACGCCGGTGATCAATCTCCACCCCGAGCGGGCCTACTACAACGTGCAGCAGCAACAGCAGGCTAACATACACCCGGAAAAGTGGTCCTGCCACGCGTGTACTTACGAGAACTGGCCCAAGGCCACCAAGTGCGTAATGTGCGGCCAGCCTAAGGACAGGGATAACAGACGGGACAACAGGTGCGCCGTGAGCAATCTGGGGGTGCCGAGTCCGGAGAGGGACCATGGCCAACAACGAGGCCTGCCTTCGCCGCCCCATGCGCCTTACATCCACCAGACCCAGCGGGAGGACAACTCCGCGATAGGCAGGAGGTGATTACCTTGCTTCACGATACGTCGTTTTATCGATGAAGCCGCTTTAACTCTTGTTAGAATTACCGCCGTCATCGCTCGAGTCCGGTGTAATTTGTGTGCAAAGTCTGTTTTTTACAGCCGCGGGGAATTGCGCCGTTTGTATTTCAAATGAAGTAGATGCACGTGTGACGTCGGGTGGAAAGAAGAAGGAAATAGATTGCGAAAGATTAAAGTGAGATCACAGAGTTCAGTAAGATCAGAAAGATCTTTGTAGATCAAACAGATGACGGAGGGGAACGAATAGGAAGTTTACAAGATGGTGCAGAAAGTGCAGTTGTAAAAGAACAAATGATTTAACTAGGCCAAAGCAGAAAGATATTTCCAGCAACTTTGCGTCTCGACGATCCGACATCTCGATTATTTAGTTCTTCTATTTTGGTGTTTTCTTGTTACCGTAATTTTTCTATCCATAATTGAATTTTTCCCTCTTCGAATTCCCATCCGCGAATATTCGTATGTATGTTATCTGTTATAATAACACTTTCAATGGTTTCTACTTCGTAGCAACTTTCAACGGAGATCTTCGTAGATTTTCGTAACACATATTATGAATAGCGTTGAAAGTATTAGTATTTAAGGTATGTTATTTATAATTCCACTAAATTGCACTTGAAGCGGATACATATTTAATACTCGGTGGAAGAAAGAAAAAAGAGAAATAAAAAGGTCCCGAGAAAAAGATAATTCCGAAAGTACAGCTATAAAAAGATAATTCCGAAAGTACAGCTATAAAAAACTAATTCCGAAATTACAGCTGTAAAAAGCAGACCTACAATTTACCTAGGCAAAAGTGTTATATCGTCTCATGAACGTTGCACGTGCCGCCGATATTGCTTCACCGGGATTTTTCCCGGTGAGTTCCGTCGATAACACGCGTTCGATTTGTTACAGAGCGCCACACAGGTACACAGACAGTCGCAATGACAGTCTGTCTACTCCTCAGTCCCCTAATAACTGTGATTACGAGCGCCGATTGAAGCAGCTGAGACGTCACACCGATTGGTGTTGGCTAAACGCCTGCCTCGGCATCGTCGAGGGCGACAACACCCCCGTAGAAGCTTACCTGGCAAGTGGCGGCGACCCCGCTCGCCAATTGACGCATTCTGAGGCTTTACTCCTCAACAGAAGTAGTGCGTTTGACGTCGGGCACACCTTGGTGCACTTGGCTATTAGGTGAGTCGACTACGAGACCGCATTCTTGGACATAATAGCGAACATTATGCAGATATTCAAGGTTAAAGTTGTTTTCTCGTTACTTATGACACGTTGGAAAAAGTAACTTTTTCAAACGAATATTTACTTAAATAACTTGTTACTTTTTCGTCATTTGTTACACGTTGGAACAAAGTAACTTGTTTCTTTCAAGCGAATAATTATTTAAATAATAATTTGTTACTGTTATCGTTACTTCCCGGTAAAAATTTCTGAAAGATACCTAAAGAAAATAAAATGTCTCTTCAGTCAGCAATCTTAGATACCTTTCAGATGTTCGTGTTGTCAGGGTCATTTTAAAAAGTAATTCGTTACTATCATCGTTATTACAAAACGAGTTGTTACAGTTTTCATGACATTTTTCACCAAGTTTTGAGGACCCTTCTTTATGATTCATCGAAGTAACGATTATGTTAATTATCATTACCTAAAGAATATAATTGCTTTACCAGTAATTAATGAAAAAATACACATTGCAAAATAGTTATTAGAAAAAAGTAACTCGCAACAATATTACAAATAACCTGTTACTTCTCAACCTTAATAATATTACATATACACTCGAAGCAAGAAAAGGGAGAGAGAAGTATTTCTTTCGCGCGTATGCTTGCAATATGTAGGCGCATACGAGTCCTAATTCGATATTGGTATTTCAACAGGTTTCAGAGAGAGGATATTTTAGCTACGTTACTGTCGCAAATAGAAGGCTCAGGCTCGGGAGTGAAGAGAGTACCGAGTTACGTTGCCCCTGATCTGGCGGGTCAGATACGCCGGCACGTCACCAACAGTATACGCTTGCGGAAGGGCTCGTTTCCTTGTTATTTTGTCACGGACATGGCCACGTTTGCCTTACCAGCCGAGGTGATTACGACGCACGATTGCAATTGTGAAACGCTTCCTCTCGCGAAATATTAGAGTTTTCGAGAGACACAACGAACGTATATTTCTAATTTGTCGACGTTCCTTAAGGTCGAGGACTTACCGAGTATCGTGCAGGAACAAATGCTGGAGGAATTGTTAGACAAAGAGGCCCAACAGCAACTGGAAGGCGGCGGCGGCGAACCGGCAGCTTTAAATTGGTCTCTGGAGATTACCGAGCGATTAGGCAGTCGTTTGCACGCTCTTTGGAACCGATCAGCAGGCGATTGCCTCTTAGACTCCGCCATGCAAGCTACCTGGGGCGTCTTCGACAGGGACAACGCTCTGAGGAGAGCGCTCGCCGATACTTTGCAACAGGCCGGGCAATTGTAAGTGCATCTTGCAATAATATGTGAACAACAATTGGAAATAGAAATTTTATTGTATGCTGTACAAACGAAAAATGATTGTAGCTTCGCTATTTTCGTATTTTAACTTTCGTCTTAGAAGGATTTGCCATGTTAAAGATGCACGGTGGTTCTGGGACTTGTATAGTACATAATAGAGTTATGTAAAAAATATATGATAATATAGTAATATAATAAAATACAAAAAGTTTCCGATGCTAATCATTTATTCGGGACGAGTCCCGACATTGTTTCAAAGTGGAAATGATGAACGATTGTTTTTGCAGCTTTTACCCCCGCTGGAGAGAATACGAGGCGTCGCAGGCATCTAGAATGTTAGATTTCACCTTAGAAGAAACGCAATGGCAGGAGGATTGGGAGAGCTTGCTGGCTACAGCTGCTCAGCCCGGCAGCGCGTTAGAACAATTGCACGTATTCGCTCTCGCCCACATATTGAGGCGACCTATTATCGTTTACGGGGTCAAGTACGTCAAGAGTTTCCGCGGTGAGGACATAGGTGAGTGCTCGACGAAACACGAGAACTTCGCTTCTGCTTGTTTCAATGATTAGATAGTCGTTTCAGTGTTTAAAATCGGATATTGAGCAAATTTCAAGGAAGATTATTCGACACCGTAGAAAAAGAAACTCGTCATTCTTAGAACTAACAACACGAATATGAAATATCTCATAAAGAGTATATTCATTCTTCAATAATTTTGTCTTAACCCATTTCGGGCCGGGCTGCAGAAATATTAAAATCTATGAGATCCAAGTACCGTTTAGGATAACTGAAACCCAAGGAAGTCGAAAAACCTAAAATAAAAATTTTCCGAATAGCTGTTTTTTCCGAAAAATAGGTAAAGCTAAAGTGGAACGTTGGCCTATATTTGATAAAAATATCTATATATAATTATCTATAATTCTATATAAAGAATACATAGAAATATGTGAAGAATATATGTAAAGTGAAGGTAGAGTTTTTTGAAATAAAAAAAATTTCTTTTCGTAATTCTAAAAAAATATTTTTTAAAAATATAAAAAATGATAAAAATAAATGAAAAATGCGAAATTGTGTCGATCGATTATTTTGGTTGATGATATGACTCGAAGCATTTAGTGTGCAAGTAGATATTACATTTTTTGCACATATTTATTGTCTTTTTATGGCACATCTTGCATCGCCGACATATGCTTTGCACTTGCTTCATCACGTGCTCCCCAGAGACGCGAAGCAACTCACGGAGTCGCTGACTGAATCCAAGTCACCATCATCTCGTGCATCTTCTAGTCTTTCATTGAAAGTCAGCAGAAGAACCGAGGTGATGACGATTCGGAAGTCCCGCGACATCGGCTTTTCCTTTGCAAAGCGGGCAATGAAACATTGCAATTTCCACGCATTCATGATAGCTGAGTCAAAGCACGCCAGTCACAATGGCCAATACCAATTTTTCGATTGAATATTTATCCGACAATTTTGAATGGCTTTGTCATGGAAGTCGACACCTTCTATGCCTTGGTTATCGTTATGGAGGAGGACAGATTGTGGGAACATTACATATTTGCCTTCCTAGATGGAGCCATCCTTCTTGACCTTCTTCTTTTACCAACATGTTTCACTACGGGCATCGAATTTATCTTATCATAATTGATAGTCACCATGACTTCCTTGTTACCTTGCCACCGACAAATCAATATGTTGCTGGTTTTATCGAAGGCAGTGTCGAATTTACTTAACAAATAAAAATGAGAATTAGATTTGCAAATTCAAATTAATCGGATTCATTAATTTCTTACCTCTTGGCAATTCCTTTGCGATTTTCAATTTCGCACCTCCAATTCGAACTTTTTTTAAGACTCCCCTATGTTTCTTCTCCAACATTCGATTTTATTCGTCATTCTACATATTAAGAATGTTCCGAGACCTTGCGAACACTTTGTATAATCTATGTTGAATATTTAAAGACTCGTTCGCCCGGATTAAGAATGCACTCTACGGCTTAAGTATTTATTCTTGCAATTCCGTGTAGTCAATCCAATTTTCGCCGTTGCTTCGAGTGAATTTTCATTTTTTTGGAACGAAGTTTCGTTCCGAGAAATTTAGAGAGTAATGCTTTATTATAGTCACATATAACCTATAATTACGATATATTCAGCTCTGCCATCCAATTATTTAAGTCACCTTTTGTCACTTTTTTTTGACAAGTCATTAAAAAATTCACGTTCGACCAAGATGGATCATTATAATCGTTTTTTTCCTAAATCGCCGTTAAATTTGTAAAATATAGGTGTTCTATATTAATATTTTTGCCGCCTTTCTTAATAAAACTGCTCCTAAAGCGTATTTGTATCGTTTATGCTCTCGGCCTTTCCTTGGTTATAAACTTTCAAACCTTCGTACTATAGAAAGAATTCGCTATATATCAAATTATCCGAAGATAAATTTGAGAAAGTAAGAGTGAGAGAAGGTAAAAGTGTTATTTTTTGAAGTGTTACTTTTTTGCTTAAATGACCTTAGTTATTCTCAGAATTTGACAAAAAATGTCACTTTTGATCACTACTTTGTGCCAGAGAAGTCACTTCTTGTCACCTTTTTTTCCCCCCAAGAAGCAGTAACCATCTCACTTTTTTGTTCCGATGACTGGATAGCAGCGCTGAATATATTCCACAGTTACGAGCTATAATTAAAATCTACACTTATATAGTTGCAATCTAACTCTAGTATCCGTTTTGTTTATTACAGGCTACGCGAGATTCGAAGGCGTCTACCTGCCGCTTTTGTGGGAGCCCTCGTTCTGCATTCGTTCGCCGATCGCCCTCGGTTACACCCGAGGCCACTTCACGGCGCTGGTACCGATCGAGCCTTACGCCTCGTCGCGAATACCGCCTCTGCCGTCCCACCATCACCACGGCGGCGGGAATAGTCCGCTGGAGCAGCTACAGCTGCAGATGCAGACAACGTTCATGCCGCTGATGGATCGCGAGCACAAGCTCCTACCGATACACTTCCTCAATCCTGACGAGGTCGGCCGCGAGGAGTCTATTTATAAGGAATGGCTCGACGTCTGCAGGACTGAGGGTGGTATCCTCGTCGCCCAGCAGAAGCTCCACAAACGACCGCTGCTCGTGGCGCAAATGCTGGAGGAGTGGCTGAATCATTATCGTAGATTAGCGTGAGTAGCAAATCACCTTTCCTGATCCTCTTGACGTTTGGCAACAGTTCGAATTACTAATTATTCAACTAGAAGCCTTCTGTTTCCTCGTCGCACAAATTTTATCGAGTTTTTATCAAACCCATTTTACCTTACACCTTCCTTAAAACGTGATGAAATCATGAGAAAGATAGGCTAAAAAGGCAGATCGCATATTATATTAGTTTTATGATTATTTATCGATTGTTAAAACGAAAGGAAAGATTTTGCGACATTTTACAAATGCGTTTCAATCAATTACAAATGTCATTTTGTGGGCACGTCCTTTCATTTCAACGTATTTCCCATATTATATACTTCGCAAGAATTTTCGGCATGCGTTTTCTCGCTTCTGGCGTCAAACAAGACGACTGCAACGAGAGACCAGAAGTCTTAACTCTAACTTAACTTCAATTTTCTAACTTTCTAACTCTAATTGTAATTCTAATTCTAACAATTCTAACTAATGGTTACAATGAGAATTACGTATTTTCTTTCTCTTTTTTTCACTTGTTTTCGTTCGAGTTGAATGTAATTAATAGTACCTAATTACTCAGACTTAATTATATTCTGGAAAAAGGGAATCGCGCAATTTCTCGAGTTACAATCTCTTCTCTCTTTTACGATGTTACAGTCAAACCAACGACGCACCATTCTCGAGACCACCGACATTGCAGGATTACAGCAGCGACGGCGATACCGAGGACGAGTAGAAGCGAGGTAATCCCACGCGTTGGGACTGTGACATGAGAAGCATCCTTTCGCAGAAATTTCGTGGTGTTGTTTCATTTGTTTTCCCGCCGGAACTCTCGGAGAGGACTTGGAAACTCCTCTCCTCTCTCCTTTCCTCTGTATTTTATTCATTTTTGCTTTACGACATGTACAGGAGCCTCGGGGACTCTCTGTAATTTTAACGTAAAGATCTCTAAATAAAGTACAGGGGAGAAAGTTCCCGAACCCCTCCCCCTCTGCCCCCTCCTGCGAAGTACATACTCTAATGCAATCGTGAGCCAAGCTGTACCACATCCACACACCTGTGAAACATGGATGCTTCTCGGCGGAATTAGGATTAGGAAAGAGAGACGGGAGATGTGCCCGCGTGAAATACTTCGTCGGATAACTCGAGCACCATCGGGATACCACCACGTCCATACGTACATATACATTCTCTCACACTGGCAATGTACCGTCGTTAAATCGAATTCTCGAGCGCTGCATAGAGGAGGTCGTGAGGTTCGTTGAGACTCGACGAGCCGGCACACGGAAGCTTTCGCAGAGTCGATGATTAGCTTGTTTTTGTTATTTCTTTTCCGAGGGATCTTTTCCCGACTGGTCATGCTGATGACTCGTCGAGCTCGCTGTCAGGATGAAACGGTCGTTCCGAGACTACTCGTCTCGGCGAGGTGCGGTGAGCGCGATGATTATCTTCTGTAGCCGGACGTTTTCGGGATCGAGCGTGCGTTACTTCTTAAACATTCATTCATTCGTGCGGCGCGATTTTCTTGATTTTCGTCCTTTCGCGGCAGAGGCAAAAGGGAAAAGAAAGAAACTTCGCTGGCCTCTTCTCCCTCCAGCAGTGTACCGAATCTAGTTTCTCGAGATGGAGAGAAGAGGGCGCGTCGAGTATGTTATATATTTATATATATATATGTATATGTATAAATATCGAAATGTTTTTGCGGTACGATACGTACGATTACGCGGGTAAGTGTTATATTATATATATGTATACAATTCATTGCCAGTGACATTTCGGGTTGAAAGTGTAGAGAACATTCGTTTGTTACACGTCGGATGTCGTTTTTTGCATAATAGAAATTTAATCTCTAGGCTATCGAAGGCGGAATATAACAATTTTTTCACAGATAGTTTGTAAAGATATTAGTCTCGAACGAGAGAGTGCAAGAGAGGGAGAGAGAGTTTAACCTGTGTTTTAGAGCAATTCCTCTCTTTTCCTCTCCCCCCCTCTCTCTCACTCTCTCTCTCTCTCTCTCTCTCTCTCTCTCTCGCAAAATTACAAAATTTCCTAGCGAATCCATACGGGCAAATTTTTCTTCGCGCATTTTCGGAAGAGCGCTCGTTCGTTCGTTTATTCATTCATCCGTCCGTCCGTCCATCTGTTCGTCGCGTTCCATTTTTACGACGAACGGAGGAACACGCGGGGTGTCCCATTGGCTGTTTTGCAGTCGATTAGTGTCTCGACGGAGGGATTTGACCGGCGATTTCAGCTCTCGTGATTAATATCGAAGATGAGGAACTCGCCGTGCGCGAACAGGCCCTTGGAAAGAAACGAAAAACAATAAGAATAAAATGAAGCGACGAAAACGATCGATTTAATTAATTCGAGACCAATTTGACGGGACAAAGTCGAAACTCGCAGCGGAAAATCTCCGATATCGATGGTCAGCGAAGTCCAATGACCGACGACTCATTTCACGGGGAAACAGGCGGAAGATAATAGCTTGGTGGTCAATTGCATTACCGCTGGAGAAAACAGGAGGAGAGAAGCCGCGTTGGTCGCCTCGTCCCTCGCGTCTCTTCCCTCGATCCCGAATCGGTCCGTGACTTCCGTCGTTCGTCGAGCGTCGAGCAATGAGACGGGACCACCCCCCGACCCTCACCCCCTGCGCGAGAGGTGTATAAAGGTCGATAAGTTTTCTGTGTATAATCGTCTTTAACTCACTCGTTACGACTCAGAGTTGTGTGTCAAAGTTGATTCTCACTGTCCGTCTACACGGCTGCAGACAAATGTCCGTCAGTCCTCCGTCAATTTTGTATAGCATTCTCAGGCAAATAGCATGAGCTTTTCTCAAGATATTTAAAAATGTTTTGCATATATAATAGAAATTTGATCTGTAATGTTCATAATGTAAAAACTTGCAATCACACGGAGAAGAAAAATTAGTTATACAAGCATTATACATGTATAGGGTGCCCCAAAATTCACGCAAGATTTGAATTTTGCGCCATTTGTGCGGTAAAGTGTTACCAATGAAAAAAGAAGACAGCGTGACAGCTGACAGTTCAGGGTTATCAAAAATGGAGCGCTACAGGAAAGAACAAGGCGTTTTCATTGTTGAGCAATATTTAAAAAATAATGAAGGTTTGGCAGCTAGAGTTCGCAATTTTCGTACAAAATATGGTCGGAATAGTGATTTAACTTTATCAACTGTAAAGATATTAATTAAAAAATTTAGGGAGACTGGATCAATTAGTGATTTTGCATCCACAACGTGTCACTATTTGGTGCGGATTTTGGGCTGGAGGCATCATCGGACCATTCTTCTTCGAAAATGCGGCTGGTCAGGCAATAACAGTTAATGGTACTCGCTGTCGCGACATGATAATCCAGTTTTTTGTGCCTAAATTGCAAGATATAGATATGGACGACATGTCGTTTCAATAAGACGGTGCCACATGCCATACAGCCCGAGAAACAATTCAATTACTGCATGAATCATTTCCTTTCCCGTTTTGGTGATCAGAATTGGCCGCCCAGATCATGCGATTTAACGCCGTTGGACTTTTTTCTTTGGGGCTTTTTGAAGTCTAAGGTTTATGCCAACAAGCCCACTCACGCCTTGAAGGAGGAAATTGAGTGCTGTATCAACGAAATTCAGCCATATTTATGCAAAACGGTCATGGAAAATTTCAACAAAAGTGTACGTATGTGCCAGCAAATTCGTGGTGGCCATTTACCTGATATGCTATTCCATACATAACCCTATACTGTATACTTTATGAATCAATAAAAAATTTACAATTTTTAATAATAAACCTGTGTTTTCTATCAAAATTACTTCTTACGTGAATTTTGGGACACCCTATATAATAACAACAACACATGTAAATTTTGTCGTTATTGTACGTGTATATATTTTGAACATTGACTATATCTAAATATAGTCTGTCCAACCTTCGATCGATTAGACGTTGGAAGGTGGACTACAAATTAATACTCCGCGGGCGCGTTAAAAGACTGAGCGAATTTTTCGGCACGATATTTCGTCGGTATCATTATCCTCCCGCGAAAAATAATTATTCGCAACCATTATCCTGTATTCTCCATACTTAGAACGAGTTTGTTACGGCAGCTAACGAGCGATTTCTGTTCTGCATTACACGTTGAAGAACGTTTCTATCGTTGTCTAACAGCAGCTAGATGTGACCGCATGAGAAAAAAGTTAATATCAATTTAAGATTCATGTTTTTCATATATAAACAAGAATACATATAATCTTATATGAAGATAAAAATTGCTCTTACATGAAGAAATTAGATATAGTTATACTATTAAAATGTCACGTTTTTATTATATAAGAATAATTTTCATGAATAAGAGGAAAAAAATATTGACTAGAAAGAACGATATATTCAAATTAAAAATTTTATCAGTTCGAAGATATCGTTCTTTCTAGTCAATATTTTTTTCCTCTTATTCATGAAAATTATTCTTATATAATAAAAACGTGACATTTTAATAGTATAACTATATCTAATTTCTTCATGTAAGAGCAATTTTTTTTTTCTCAGTTTATGAAAGTTATTCTTAAATAACAATAATATGATATTTTTAGTGAAACTATATTCTCTATGTGAAAGTTTCATCTTCATATAAGATTATGTATTTTTGCTTATACATGTGAAATTGAATTTTGAGTTGATGCTAGCTTTTTTCTGCGCATAAATACCTTAATATAAATCCGTTGAAGGATGTTTTAATGTAGGATTACCGGTTGCTTATCTGCCGCCGACAATTTAGACAGATAGTGCGAATCAATCTTTAAAAAGAAAATTAGCGCGAAGCGGGTGGGCACTACAAACGAGCAACGATCTGTTCCTCCAATCGGCGATCGCGGAGGTGCACTAAGCGTTATACGTATGTTCCCCCTTCCCTCTCCTTCCTCCTCCCCTCCCTACCCCTCTCCACATACAACACACATATAAACTGAGAGAAAAACTACTTAAAGATAATAAACATTTATTTTCTCAGTGTATATATATATATATATATATATATATATATATATATATATATATACACACTGGTGTCCCAAAATTCACGCAAGAAGTAATTTTGATAGAAAACACAGGTTTATTATTAAAAATTGTAAATTTTTTATTGATTCATAAAGTATACAGTATAGGGTTATATATGGAATAGCATATCAGGTAAATGGCCACCACGAATTTGATGGCGCATACGCACACTTTTGTTGAAATTTTCCACGACCATGAAATTTTTCGTGAGCTTGTTGGCATAAACCTTAGACTTCAAAAAACCCCAAAGAAAGAAGTTCAACGGCATTAAATCGCATGATCTGGGCGGCCAATTCTGATCACCAAAACGGGAAAGGAAATGATTCATGCAGTAATTGAATTGTTTCTCGGGCTGTATGGCATGTGGCACCGTCTTGTTGAAACAACATGTCGTCCATATCTATATCTTGCAATTTAGGCACAAAAAACTGGATTATCATGTCGCGACAGTGAGTACCATTAACTGTTATTGCCTGACCAGCCGCATTTTCGAAGAAGAATGGTCCGATGATGCCTCCAGCCCAAAATCCGCAGCAAATAGTGACACGTTGTGGATGCAAAATCACTAATTGATCCAGTCTCCCTAAATTTTTTAATTAATATCTTTACAGTTGATGAAGTTAAATCACTATTCCGACCATATTTTGTACGAAAATTGCGAACTCTAGCTGCCAAACCTTCATTATTTTTTAAATATTGCTCAACAATGAAAACGCCTTGTTCTTTCCTGTAGCGTTCCATTTTTAATAATCCTGAACTGTCAGCTGTCACACTGTCTTCTTTTTTCGTTGGTAACACTTTACCGCACAAATGGCGCAAAATTCAAATCTTGCGCGAATTTTAGGGCACCCTATATATATATATATATATATATATACATAAATATACATATGTATATATATATACACACACACACACACATATATATAGTGTGGGTACTATAATATCATATTTACTTGAATGTAAATTCTTTTAAATAGAACAGACCATTTCTTTCGTGAAAATTTTAAGAAATAGAGAGAGAATAAGATGATTTAAAAAAAAAAATGTATATTTTCTCTTTCATTTGGGAAAGAATTTTTCTTTCTAAGTACAAAAATATGTATATTAGTATTAGTAAATATATTATCAGTACCCACTGAATAAATATTACTTCTTGGATATTTTTTCTTTCAGTGCATATATGTATGCCTCAACACTCATTAGATCTAATTAGTCGCCAGCGGGATATGTTTTTTCTCACGAGCGTTGAGGCATACACAGGCAGGTTTTTCCGCGTCTCTTCTCCCCTCAGCTGCATATCTCGTGTACTTACTCGTGATCTTCCTCCCTCCCTCATCCTTCCGCCGCCGAGTCTCGAGTGATATATACCTATCTCATTTTAAATAGTGAAAAACGTGTGACATAGGGACAACCAGAAGAAAGAAAAAAAAAATAGCGAAAAAAGAGCGCGGCTGTGCGCGTGACGCGCTCGGTGTGTACGCACGAGGCGGAGAGCGTTCGCTGAACTGACCGCTTTTCCAACGTGCGCATCGATGGAAACTAGGAAACAGACGTGCGAAAAATCGCGCTTTCCTCTGTGGCTAAAAAAACGGTAAAAAACGGAAAAAAAGGAAACAAGCATTGTGTGTGATTCCCCCCATCGTGTTGAATAAATAAAAATGAATATATATATATATATACACACACATATATATATATATATATATATATATATATATATATATATAGAAAGAGAGATATTATATATATATATAAAATACTATACGACGTACCGTAAATGGAACTTTTATAAAGCGATGAGAAATTAAAAGAACAAGTGGCACGTATTTCAGCATTAAGATTATTAAAAAGAATACACACAGACACACGTTCACTCACAAGGGGAGACCGCAAATCCGGACTCTTCGATTTGAATCAACTTCTGTGAATATGTTGAGGGACTCAATACATCAATAACGGTA